GAGCCATAAATAAGGATCTGGTTGAGTGAAGTGTAGGCTGCCTTCCCCACCTGAAATTCTAGCGGCCAACTCTTTAACCAAGTAGAAATGGGATCACTGATACTAAAGATGTACTGAAAACATGTATTAAAAAAAACCGTGGGAACAGGGGTGGGGTGTTTCAGCCACAGGGCCTGTAACCCAGCCCCTGGGAGTTGATGAGTTCAAGTTTAGCCTGAAGTACAATTTGGAGTGATTTTTTTTACCTTTACTTATGTGCATTTTCTATTTTACAGGGAATAAAGCACGATTAATAGAGCCAAGCATACTGGCACAAGTCTTTAATCTCAGCACTAGTGAAGCAGAGGCAGCCTGGTTCACATAGTGAGTTCCAGGACAGCCAGAGCTACATAATGAGACCCTGTCTCAAAACAAAAACAAAAGGCACGACAGCAGCAACAAAAAGAACCATGATACAAAATCACGAGACCATGTCATTCTCTTGCTTAAAACCCTTCAGGATGAGTGCTCGCTGTGTAGGTTCTGGTCCAAGTTCCCTAGCTCTCCAAGTCTCCACCCATACCTTAGTCAGAAGGGTCGCTGGGGGCCCAGGCGGCTTTATACCTCAGTTCCCTCGGCTAAGTACTTCCCACGCACTGCCTCCAGAACAGCAGCTAAGTCCCAGCCTAGCCAAGATATCCTTGGCTTTAATCTGGCCCAGGATATCCCTAAACACCGGAACCTTCCAGAGCCTCAACTCGACCCAGGACAGCGGCAGCACGGCCACCCGCCAGTGGACAAGGTTCCTCTGCGAAGGGTGCACACGCAGGGTCCCTGGCTGGGCTTCCCCCGCGCGATATCGCCACGAGCCTGGGCACGAGGACAGACCCTGCACCCGGGCCCAAGCAGGAACCAGACCGGCGCCGAGGGGCCCGGACTCCAGAATATGAGCATAGGTCCCCAGCTTGGCTCTTCGGGAGGGGTCCGACCCGGCCTCACCTTCGCGCTGCTCACAAAACGGACTTCCACGGAGCCCCGGGCACCGCCCGCCACGCCCACGCAGAAGGAGAACACGTCGCACATGGAGGCCGCCATCTTGGGCACGCCTCCGCTTTCTGACCCTTGACCCCCGCCCCGGGAGGCCCCGCCCACCGAGCCTCTGAGCACTCACTTCCCTACCTTACCCCGCCCCGCCCCTGAACGTGGCTGGCAATAGCGACTATTTGCTCCGCAGTGATTCAAGTCTTTTGGTGTCTTGGTTTTGCTTGATTGGGTGGAACCTGGCCTGACTATGTGCTTGGACTTCTGGTAGTCTGAGTCCATGAGTGACGGCTGATGGAGTAGCTCAGGGGAGACCCCTAGCCTATCCCAACTGTGTTCTTAAGTGTCCATAGTTGCTTTTCCCACTGTCTGGTTTTTGAGACAGGGTCTCACTATGTATCCCAATCTGGCCAAGAGTTTGCAGCCATCTTCCTGCTTAAGAAGCCCTTCACCATACCCCCAACACTGAAAAAAGCCGGTTTTAGACCCAGAGAAGGTGGACTTAATTATTTTTGCTCCGACCCTCATCCTGAAAAGCAGTTTGGTTGCTGGGCTCACTTGTTTTAAAATTTTCCCCTCCCTCCGGTGGCAACATTTCTGTACTACGTTTAGGAGAGGTTTGCTTTGAACGTTTGAGTGCACAAAGGCTAGCCTGGAATACATGAAACCTGTCTGAACGAGAAATGCACTTGTTACTCTAGCTGAGGACCCAGATTTGGTTCCCAACACTGGTTTACAACTACCTTTATGTAACTCCAGTTCCAGGACTTCTGATGTCCCCTCTTTCAGCCTCCTCAGGCACCAGGCAGGCACATATATACATGAAGGCAAAACAATCATATGCAAAAGAAAAAATTTCCCTTTTCTATAAATATTAACCAGGTTGGATCAGTGCCTCAGAGAGTAGTTAGGGGCTTTCTTGACTTTGCAGATTTTGGTTATGGAGCAGTAGTAGTAAGTGGACCTCACATGTGAGGACCCCTTAAGTAGACACAAAAATGAAGGCACACAGGCAGAGAGAGGATACAAGTCTTCCTGTTTCTGCAGGTAGACCCGACTGCCATACGTTTTGTTTTGTGCCCCAGTTGACTATTCCTTGACAAGGGACCTGTGTCTGCTCTGTTATGGTTTCATAGTGATTTGGGGAGATTAGATAACAACCTAGTAATTGTTTAGTAAGTGATTGAGTTTTTTTGTGTTTTTTTTTTTTTTTCAGACAAGGTCTCTCTTGGGGGCTGTGGTATTTGAGACAGGGTTTCTCTGAGTAGCCTTGGCTGTCTTGGAACTCACTCTGAAGATCAGGCTGATCTCAAATTCAATAGAGATCTGCCTGCCTCCCTAGTGCTGGGATCAAAGGCATGCACCACAAGCTGAGACAAGCTCTATGTAAGTTGGTTGTCTCAGAACTTGCCATGTAGACCAAATTGGCCTCAAACTCAGAGATCCATCTGCCTCTGACTCCTAAATTTGATTTTTTTTTTTTTAAAAAGTGAGTCAATTGGGACTGTGTTTGCCACATAAGCATGAGGACCTGAGTTTGATCCCCAGCGCCCACATAACAAGCCATCAATCCTAGGATTGAAGTGGTAGAGACAGGGTGACACTGTGGGCTCCCCAGCCAACCAGCCTAGTCAAATGGGCTAGCTCTATGTTCAACAGGAGAACCTGACTCAGAAAAAGAGGAGAGCAATTAAGACACTCAGTGTTGACCTCTGGCCTCTGATGAACACGAATGGGTGTGCACACACACAAAATGGACCAGTTGTTCCTGAAGGAGACAGCTGTGGCTGGATCCCTTTGGTGAATAGGACTTCTGACCTCAGCATTCGGAAGGATTTCCCTGAGGATATGAACAAAGAAATTTTCTGTGTCTCCCCCTTTTTGTTATTGTCTTTGTAATTTTTATTTTTATTTATTTTTTTACCTGTATGAATGTTTGCCTGCAGGTGCCTGGCGTCTACATTTTTAAGTCAGAAAAGGGCTTTGGATCCCCTGAACTGGAGTTATGGATGGTAGTGAGTCACCACATAGGTACTAGAAATCAAACTGAGGTCCTTTGCAAGAGCAACAAGTGACCCTAACTGCTGAGCCATCTCTCCAGTTTTTATACGTGTTTTTTTTTTTTTTCTTACAGTTATTCTGTGTGTCTGTATGTGTGTGGGTGTGTGCACTGGGGGATACCATTCTCTCTGTCCATCATGGAGATTCCAGGGATCAGTCTAAGATCTTAAGTTTGGCAGCAAGAATCTGAATCTGTTGAGCCTTCTCCCAGCCCTTGTTTTTTGAAACAGCATCTAGCTGTTCACTCTAGGCTTGCCCTACATTCACTGTGGTAGCTCTGGCTGACTCGATCCTTCTGCCTTAGCTTCCCTGATGCTAAGACTACAGGTGTATACTGCACGGCCCCGCTGCAAAAGATGGCTTCTTGAGGCAAGACTCTGGATTTCCTCAAACTTGCCACTTAATGGCTACAAGTCCATTGTTTTTTTTGTTGTTGCTGTTGTTGTTGTTTTTTTAAGTTTTTCATGACATGGCTTCTCTGCGTAACCCTGGCTGCCCTGGAACTCACTCTATTGACCAGGCTGGCCTCTGCTTCCAGAGTGCTGGGATTAAAGGTGAGTACCACCATACCTGGCTAAAGTTCACTGTCTTGTATGCCGGGTACTTTCCAGGCTCATCGCCCATCACCCACCTTTCTTCTCCTTTCCCCAGAAAACTGGGCCCTGAGAACAACCTCCCTGAGGAAGATCAGCCCTTTCTTTACCTCTTCACCTCACCTCAGCCCAGGAACTGCAAATTAGCAGTCTTTAGTACAAAAACCAGTTCTTAAATGTTGGAAGCTGATTTCACAGGAATAAGCTCTCAGCAAGCTTCCTGGCAAGAAGCCAAGCTGGGTCAGAGGGTCATTCAGGGAGGAAGAACTGTATTGTCAATACTAGGTGAAAAATGACAAAATTAAGTCAGCATAAATTCTGGGGGGGGGGGGGGGGGGGGGGGCTTCAGAGAAAAAACGTAGCTTGTTGCTCCAAGGAATCAATTAATCAATTACCATAAAATTACCATAAACCCGAGCTCACGGTGACATGAACTCCTATTGAAAGTGGTATCAGAGAAGACAAGAAAACTTTGGGCAAAGCATGGTAGCTCTCATTCATTACCTCAGCACTAGAGAGGCTGAGACAGGAGAATTTCCATGAGTTTGAAGCCAGTCAGTGCCACATAATGAGAAATCTGTGTTAAAAAAAAAAAAAAAAAAAAGGTTGTGATCCCAGCCTGTGGGAAGTAGAGGGTCAGGAATTCAAAGTCATCCTCAGATACAGAGGAGGGTGACAAGACAAAAAGGAATAGGGTCGGAATGCAGGAAACTTTGAAGTGAGCTAAGAAATCTTCCCTGCAGACTCTGGGGAGAGTCTTCCACACCGTGATACTGATTGAAGGAGACCTCTTCTCCATAGCTGGGCCAGGAAAGAGCTGATGAGCCAATCCGCAGGGCAGAGCTAAGACAGCTTCCATTCCCATAAACCTCACTAGCTGGCACTCTGTAAGTGCTTTACAGACCTTAACTCAGGGATGTAGAGATGTGTATACCTCTATCCACAAGAAGTAAAACCTGGCCGGGCGGTGGTGGTGCACACCTTTAATCCCAGCGCTTGGGAGGCAGAGGCAGGAGGATTTCTGAGTTCGAGGCCAGCCTGGTCTACAGAGTGAGTTCCAGGACAGCCAGGGCTACACAGAGAAATCCTGTCTCGGAAAAAAAAAAAAGAAGAAGAAGAAGAAGAAGAATTAGTAAAACCTGGCCAAGAACATAGATCAATCCATTATTCTTCTTCCAGAGTTCTCCTGCTTGTTCAAGTACATTTGGTATCCTTTGACCTTTGACCTTAAGGAAGCTCTTCACTGAGATGTGGGACTGGGAGGGCCAGCAGGTACCACAGGAAGAACTTGTCCATATAACATGGCTAGGGCCTCTTATTCCGTCCTTAACTGCCAACTCCTGACTCAGCATCTTCACTCTGGATGTTGCCATCTGAGCTGCTGGAGGGCTCTTCCATGGCAAAGGAGGAAGGCGATTTCAGCTTTTGCTGCTTCTGATACTTCACCCTGCGATTTTGGAACCAGATCCTCACCTGTAATTGAGGGCAATGAACAGGCATCAGAATTTGACCAGCAGGCCCCTTTACCCGCCACTGTCACTTCTCCTAAATGCCATTCCTGAATTCTCAGTCACAGTACAGTCATCCCTGTCTGTACCTTTGTTGCTGTTTTTCGATCAAGTCTCATATCACCCAGGCAAGACTCAAACTCACTATGTAGCTCAAGATATTCTTGAACCCCTGATCACCCTGCCTCCACTGCCCCAGTGCTGGGGTACCAGGTGTGTGCCACCATGCCCACTTTATGTGGTACTGGAAACCGAATCCAGGACTTCAAGCATTTGAGGCAAGCACTCTACCAATTGAGCTATGTCTCCAGCCCCCAGTGAGTACTTATGGCTACAGTGTGCTGGTGCTCTACTAGGTGACAGTGACAGTGACTGATGGCAGTGAGCAGAAAGGCATGACCCCTGTCCTCTACAGCTCACCATCCAGTCACTGGGAGAAAGCCCAATGCAAATAAGGAGATACATTAGATATAAGAGGAGTTACAGAGGCTTGGGTTGGGGGAGCTCTGATGGGATACATCCTGGTAGGGGCAGGGAGAAGCTGTCTAGGTAGACCTGGAGGACAGCCTATGGAATGGCTTTCAGTTAACATCAAACTCAAGCTGAGGACCAGAAAGAGGATATCGCTGCAAGGGAGAAAGGGCGGGAAAGAAGAGGTCAGCAAGACCCAGGACACCCAAGATCTTGAAGGCCACAGGGAGGGAAAGTCCGTTTTGAGGCTTTTGAATGGGGTGTGACATAATCCTGAAGTAGCTGGCTGGTGTGTGGAGGCTGGAGCAGTAACCCAGGGTGGGGGGGGTGTGGGGGGGGGAGAGTTAGAGATGTAGGAATGTAGAGCAGCAGCAGTGAGGAAACGGAAGCAAGCATGTCCAGATGACTTCCTTTTTAAGGAACCTGGTGGGTGGTATGCCGGTGGAAGAGGAGGGGAACAGATGGGAGAAAATCAATTAAGAATTGAGGTTTTAGCCGGGCGGTGGTGGTGCACGCCTTTAATCCCAGCACTTGGGAGGCAGAGGCAGGCGGATTTCTGAGTTCGAAGCCAGCCTGGTCTACAGAGTGAGTTCCAGACTGCCAGGGCTATACAGAGAAACCCTGTCTTAAAAAACAAAACAAAACAAACAAACAAAAAAAGAATTGATGTTTTATAAAGTTTACAATGCCTTCCTAGAGATGTCCAAGTTGAGATTTTGAGAAGTAGTGGCTGAGGATGTAGTTTAGTGGTAGGGACTAGCCTAGGATGAGGTTCGAGTCCTAGCAGAGAAGGTTGGACTGGGTATATAAATCTTAGCCATCAGATTAGAGATGGTATTTTAAACCATGGCTATAGGTGAGACTAGATGGCATGAAGTCCCAAGGGGACGAGTGGCCTAGAAAGAAGACAGTAATGACCAGAGAAGCAGGAGGAAGGTCAAGAGGAAAGTGTGTCAGAGTAGGGAAACAGTCAATCATCCGGAGAGCTGTGATGCCCAGGAGTCAGCTAAAGGGAGGAACATGTTTGTAGGCCTTGACAAGGATATCTTGATGAAACAGAGGGAAAATCATCATGTTGGGATGACTTCAAGAGAAAACAGAGGGCTGGGATGTAGATCAGTTGGCAGAGCACTGGCCCAGCACACATAAAGCTCTGGACTTGACACTCAGCACCATGGTGAATGTGTGTCATCTTAGCACTTGGGAATTGAGGGCAGGAGAACTAGAGGTTCAAGATTATCTTTAGCTATGTAGCAAGTTCAAGACCAGCTTGGGATACATGAGAACCTATCTTAAAACAAATAAATAATACAAAGAGTGAAGCGGGGGTGGGGGTGGGGCAACAAGATGAGAGTGAGCATAGCAAAGTCCTGAGGAGTTTTCCGGCACATGGAAAGGAGCAATGACACCTTTAGGAATACTCCCTCCTTACAAATGGAGTCTCATCAATATCTGCTTGGTTTGGCAGACAGCCCCTTATTTAGCACGGAAACAATCAGAAAGTGATAGAGAGGGCTGGGGGGATGATCAGATGGCTCAAGTCTCAGACTTGCTAAGAAAGCCTAACAACTAGAGTTCAGATGCCCAGAAACTCACATAAATACCAAGTGGCCTGCCTGTAACTCCAGCCTGAGCAGGCAGAGACAGGATCCCCAGAGCAAGTTGGTCCAGTGAGGTTAGCCATATTGGCTAGCTAGCTCTGGGTTTGACGGAGAGATTCTGCCTCAGTGAACAAAGTGGAAGAACAAAAGCATAAATATATACATATGTGTGTGTGTACATAATTCATTTATTTTTATTTAATGTGCACTGGTGTTCTGCCTGCATGTATATCTGTGTGAGGGTGTCAGATCCCCTGGAACTGGAATTATAAAGTGTTGTGAGCTACCATGTGGGTGCTGGGAATTGAACCCGGGTCCCTTGAAAGAACAGTGTTGTTAACAGCTGAGTGATCTCTATAGGCCCCCAAGAATTATTATTGGCATCAACCTCAGGCCCCCACACATACACACATACTCACACACGTGTGCCTGCACACATGCAAAAACATATTTACACATATGCAAACCACACACACAATAAACAAAAAGGAGGAAGCAGTAGAGGAAACTTTGGTTATGTTTATAATGTGACTCCTGATAGGAATATTACACTGGGAATGTGTTAAAAAAAATAGAGCCTCTCTCCCCATCATCCTAGCCTAGAGGAAAAAGGTCATGTCTTCTTCCCTTCCTACAAGTCTACCAGGTGTCTCCTACACAACTTGAGCCTCAGGTCCCTGTTCTCACCTGGTTCTCCGTCAAGTGTAGCCTGGCAGCCAGCTGGGTTCTCTCCTTTCCTACCAGGTTGTGCTGCTTTGCAAATACCTTCTCCAACTCTTCCAGCTGCTGCAAGTTAAACATTGTGCGAACCCTCTTTTGGTGTCTCTTGGTACCGTGGTCCTGAAGGTCCACGGTGGGTGCCCATTTCAGAGGGCCTAAACAGTAAGGTAGCTCTGGGCCTAAAGAACAACCAAAAACAGAAGTCAGCCAGCAGCCACCTGCCCACACATGATAGGAGAGAAAGAAAACTCACAGGCCCTTCCCCTTGCCCAAGTAACATAGGATAGAGTGGAAGAGGCTGTGTAGAAATAACCCCAGAAGACCTAGGGAGAGGACTCAGTCAGTAAATGGTACAAGGTTGAGGACCTAATTCTAACCCCTAGCACCAAGTTTGTTGTTGTTTGTTTGTTTATTTGTTTGTTTTAAAAAGACTTTGAGGGGGCTGGAGAGATGGCCTCTTCCAGAGGCCCTGAGTTCAATTCTCAGCAACCACATGGTGGCTCACAATCATCTGTAATGGGATCTGATGCCCTCTTCTGGTGTGTCTGAAGAGAGCAACAGTCTACTCATACATTAAATAAATAAATAAATAAATAAATAAATAAATAAATAAGGCTTTGAGGAAGTAGAGACAGGAGTATCCTTGGGGAGATGTTTGGCCAGCCAGTCTAGACATTTGGAGAGCTCCAGGTTAGGTGAGAGCCCCTATCTCAAAATTAAGATGGAAAAGGGTAGAGAGATAGCTTGGCAATTAAGAGTAATTGCTCTTCTTCCAGAGGACCTGGTTTTGGTTCCTAGAGCCCATGTCCAATGGCTTACAACCACTTGTACTTAAGTGTAAATAGCTCTGGGGAAGCTGAAAGGTATTGAAGACACTTGATGATGACCTCTGATATCCACATCCGTGTACACTCACCTGCACACATATGAATACAAATTAAACACACAGAGAAGTATGAAAAAGGCAGGGGGATGTGAAGGAACGCTGTGAAAAGCTGTCTTCTGAATTTGACATGATTATTACAGCTATGAACTCACAGCAGGGATTACAGACATACACCATCACCCCTGGCTAACTCTGGGAGTTCCCTTAATGCCATCTGCCACCACTTCCATACCGATACCTGTGAAGCTGAGGTCCTGTTGGCAGAGGAGGTGAGTCACATTCAGTCCGGGCATGCAAGATGTGGCGCACAGCGGGTAGCCGCCCACGCTCAGGTAGGCGGGCAGCCAAGTCCCTGTAGAGTACACCCAGGGCAGGAACCAGTACTGTGACACAGAGCCGAAGTTCAGACTGGTGCAGGTAGAGAGCGGCAGAGAGGTGGCAGCCTGCTCATGAGTCTTGGGTCTCGCCAGGATGGCCTCGACCGAGAAGGAGGAATCCAGGCGTCCCGGAGCTAGGCGGTGCGAGACTACCGGGGAAACAGGCGCCGGACAGGAGCCCAAGCGCCCGGGCTGGACCTGAGTGCCTGAGGGAGCAGGCTGGGGCACTGGGCTGGACATGGCGCGACCCTGAGGGGACCTACAGGGAAGAGGAGTGGGAAGACCTCCCAGGCTGTGCAAGGAGCTCAATAGGAGAGAGACTACCTTACTAAAGAACAAGAGACTTGTGAATCAGGATCCCTAGGGCCAGCTGTTTGCAAGGACTCTTAAACTTAGCGGGTGGGAGGAGGCGGGGCGAAGGCCTGACTTAATCATCTCAGAGTGAGGCCAGGCCTCTAAAGTCCCCACAGTAGCTGTAGGTTGCATCCTACCAGGGCAGGGGTGGGAGGTGGAGAAGGGGTCTCTTTTATTCTGGTGCTTTGGGGGAAGTACCTTGAATGTGCCATCCCTTCTTTTATTTGAGGTCTTACTGTGTAACTCTGGGTACCCTGGACCATGTAGATCAGGCTGGCCTCGAACTCACAGAGATCCACCTGCTTCTGCCTTGTGATTGCTGGGATTAAAGGCACGCTCTGCCAAACCTCCCCCTCCTCCTCTAGTCCTTCTTTAGTCTGTAGTCCAGGCTGTCCTCCAAGTCACAAATCATGGCAGGATCATGGCGGTCCTGCTTCAGCCTCCCAAGTACATGTGCCGCTGTGCTTGGCTTCGAAACGGCTCTCTGATGATCCTGAATGTGGGTTCTTTGCCCCTGCTCATGACATCTGTGAGGCCAGTCACCCCTACTGGTGTGGGGAACAATGATCTCAGGAGGGTGGGGCAGTGCCTACTGTCCTGATTTTCCTAATCTTCACCCTCTTCCCAAATAAATTTGGGTTCTTCCTCACCACAGCTGGGATACTTGCTAAGTAAGCTCTCTACAGCTGAGTTCTTGGGAGAGTTCTCTTAAAGCAGAAGCCCTGGCTAGCTCCACATAAGGACTAGAATTTTAAAATATGTAAGCATTGTATCAGTAGTGAAAAGTAAACCTCCTAGTCTCCTGAAGCTGCTGCTATTGCCACTTTCTCTGAGATCTTTTCAGGAATACTCTTGCCCTCAACGCAGGGTCTTGCTAGAAAGGTCCTTCCTGCTGGAAGCTGGCACCTGGGATGCTGAAGGAGGAAGATGTACATTTCAAGGCCAAATGTGCTTTACAAAGCAGAACTCTTGTCAGAGAAAGAAAGAAGAATAAACAAGGGGCCATGATGACACTCTCCAGTGATCCTAGCACTTGGGAGAAGGGGACAACAGAACCAGGAAGGCAAGGTCATCCTCAGTTATGCAGTGAGTTTGAGACCAGCCTGGGCTATAATAGACATTGTCTCAAAAACTCAGAGACCTAAAGAGATGGTTCAGAAGTTAAAAGTTCTTGCTACTCTTGCGGAGGACCTAGGTTGGAGTCCCAGCACCCATAAGGTGGATCAAACTTAATCCCAGCCCTCGGGAAGCAGAAGCAGATGGATCTCTGAGTTTAAGACCAGCCTGGTCTATATCATGGGTTCTATGCTAACCAGGTCTATATAGTAAAACTCTGTCTGAAAAAAAAAAAAATGAGAAGGGCCTGGGGAAATGGCGCAGAGGGTAAAGTGCCTGCCATGCAAGTGAACGGGGCCCAAGTTCAAGTTTCCAGAATCTCCTAAAATCAGATGTGTCAGCAAGTATCTGCCATCCTCAGAGCTCCTAAAAGGTGACAGGAAGCAAAGAGGTTAAAGTCCCCAGGAGCTCTGGGGCCAGCTAGCTTAGGAGGGAGGGAGGGAGGGAGAGAGAGAGAGAGAGAGAGAGACAGAGAGAGACACACAGAGAGACACAGAGAGAGAGACAGAGACAGAGAGAGACAGAGAGAGACACAGAGAGAGACACACAGAGAGACAGAGAGAGACAGAGACAGAGACAGAGAGAGACAGAGACAGTCAGAGACAGAGACCCTGTTTCAGACAAGGTGGAATGGAAAGACAGGCAGCCAAGTTTGTCCTCTGACCTCCATACATGTACCGTGGCATTCATGTACTTGTGCATGCACGAACATGTGTGCACACACAGACATTTACAAAGAGAGATATAAAAGGAGAGGGAAGGATGAAAGACAGAGAGAAGAGAAAGAAAGGAAGTAGACAGGAGTTAGTTCTCTGTAGGCAGCAAAAAGAAAATGGCCTTGGCAGACGGTGGGAACAAAGACAATGTACAGAGTTCACTTAACACCAGAGAGACCCCAGCCAAGCTCAGAGACAGACAACACCTTCAAGGTCAGCTCAGCCTAGTGGCCAGCAGAGGAGCCAACCATAGATGGACAGAGGGGCTTGAACATGTGAACCACCCAGAACTGAACAAGCAGTGGATAAACAATTCCTGGCTGTCTACCTGGTCAGCCCAGGAACATGCCAAGGGCATGTGGCTCCCCTCCCATTGGCTTGGCCTATAATAAGCCTAGAGAATTAACCAGTCTCAGTAGAAGTTACCTCAGCCATTGTCCAGTTTCTGCCAGGCACCGGAATAAAAAGCCCCTACTGAGCACCTCTGTAGTTTCCCCTTTCTTGGACCCCCACCCACTCTTAGGAGTTTCTCTCTTCTTCCCACCCCTTATGGTCTCAGTTTCCCCAGTAAATGTCGCTTGCTTTGTTTTGCTTACTCATAGTAAGCAAAAATCAGTATTTAATCATCCTTGTAGAGACTGAGACAAGGAGCTCAAGAGCCTGTCTCAGGACTTGGGCATGGTGACACACACCTCTAATCCCATCCCTTGGGAGGCAGAGGCAGGTGGGTTTCCATGGGTTTGAGGAAGGAAGGATCTTTTCCATATCCAGCACTCTGCATTATGTGTGTGGGGTGTGGGGGCCAGGCACTTGTGTCCCAACTTTGCAGGTGGCTTCTCAGTACTTTCTGAGTTGCAACTCACCATTTGTATTCACCATCTTCGAAGTGGAGAAGAACGGGGGTTACCTTGGCTTTGAGGTGGGGCTTGAGTGAGATAAGTCACACAGTGCTTTAGAACTGCTTGTGAGGTGGAGCCTTGAGAATCCCCAGTTCCCCCTGCTCTCCTGACATCCTGCCTTCCCAAACTTGGACGGAAAGGATTTATTTCTGCTTACAGGTTGCAGTCCACTACCAAGGGAAGTCATGGCAGGCACTGAAGCAGAAAATATGAGGGAGAAAGAACACTGCTTATGTCCTGCATAGGAATAGTACCTCCCAGAATAGGTTGGATTCTCCTATATCAATTTGCAATCAAGAAAATTTCCCACAGACATGACAAAGGCCAAATGATGGAGGCAGTTCTTCAACTGAGGTTCCATCTTCCCAGGTAACTCTAGTTTGCATCAAGTTGATAATTTTTTTCCCTCATGGGAGTGGGATTTATTGAAGATAGAGTGTGAGAGAGAGAGAGAGAGAGAGAGAGAGAGAGAGAGAGAGAGAGGAGACAGGAGACCGAAGATGGCGGAGAGGAAAAAGAGCCAAGTTGATAATAAAAATTAACCAATACACCTATCCTGACTCCCGAGGAACCCTGCAAGAAGCCTGGCTCGTGGAGGTCTAGGGATGTGGCTCAGTTGGTGCAGTGTCTGGCTGGTATGCATGAAGCCCTGGGCTCAGTACTCAGCATCTCATGAAACTGGGCATGGTGGTGCATGCCTGCAACCCCAGCATAGTGCGAGGGAGAGGCAGGCAGAGCAGCAGTTCAAGGTCATCCCTGGCTACATAGGAGTTTGAGGCCAGCCTGGCCTACATGGAAAAAAAGGAAAAACACTTGAAGATGACATACAAATTTCTCTAGCACATAATGCTTAGAAGGATTCTGCTGCCTAGAATTTTCTGAAGACATTAATTTTGTCCATTCACCCTGGAGCAATCAATTTTATTTTATTTTTCTCATTCAACTGTGAATGCCCCTCCCCTATAGACTTGTTCTTTGTAATGGCTGCATTAGGTCCCATGGTGTGGGGAAAGCACAATTACTCAACTGTTCCTTTGTTAAACGAACGTTCAGTCGCTTCCCAGCTTCTGCCTCTACAAACAGAACAGGTAATAGACACTATTTGTAATAATTAATGCTCCACTGGTGATCTTATTTCTGTACAAATTCTGAAAATAGGATGACTGGACATACATTTATATGAATTTATATTTTATGCCACATTGATCTCCAAAATAGTCTTTAATAATTCAGCCCTTGCTACCTGCTATATCCAAGGATCTAACACAATGCCAAGGACTCAAATGACCAAGTTAATAATAAATATTTAAAGCATGGTGTGATGCTGCATGTCTGTATTCCTAGCATCAAGAGGTAGGGGTAGGATGATCAGGAGTTCAAGGGCAGCCTCAGTTACATAGCAAGTTTGAGACAAACTCTCCTTATATTAGAACCTGTCTCAAAACACACACACACACACACACACACACATGGGGGGGGTGGAGAGAGAGAGAGAGAGGAGAGAGAGAGAAAAAGAGAGAGGTGGGGGGAGATTGGTATACAGCTCAGCTGGTAGAGTCCTTGTCTAGCATGCAGAAAGCCCTGAGTTTAATCCCCAATACACCATAAAACTGGGCATGGGGGCAGAGCCTGTAATCCTAGCTTGGTGACATGGAGGTAAGAAGATCAGGAAATCAAGAAGATCAAGGTCATCTTCAACCATCTTCAATTGCATAGCAAATTCAAGGCCAAAATGGGCAATATGAGCAACAAACACAGGCTGGCAAGATGGTTCAGTGAATAAAAGCGCTCACCACCCAGACTGTCAACCTGAATTTAATGTCCCAGGGCCTACAGAATGGGAGGAGAGAACTGGCTTCTGGGGGTTGTCCTCTGGCCTCTGCACATGTGCTGTGTTTGCACAGGAGCACACCTGCACATAAGGTGTACAAATAAATACAAGTGCAAAATGTTGACTTAAAAAAATGGCCAGACATGGTGGGGTGCAACTTTAATTCTAGCACATGGGAGACAGAAGCAGGTGGGTATCTGTAAGTCTGAGGCCAGCTTAGTCTACATATTGAGTTCCAGGACAGTCAGAGTTATATAGGAAATACAAACAAAAACAGTAAAGAGGCTGGGTATAGCGATGTATAGCTTTAATATCAGCATTTGG